TCGAACCTAAGCCCTTAAATGCCAACCGCTATAAGAAGAGCCACTTGCTCTACCCAGTGAAAAGCATACATTAATTAATTGTTGAGCAAGATGCAAGTGAACCAACACACAAGTCAAAGCCAACCTAATACAAAATACATTAGTCAAACATGAGAATAACACCCTATTTGAGTCTTCCCTCCTTTTTGGGTGCAGGACTTGATGCTTCTCTCCTTTACCTTCCCATATCCATTTTGGGAGATTTATACAATTTTGTGACCAAGCAATCTCTTACCAAGAACCTACCTTGGTAGAGCACTCTCTAGCTAGTCCTTAATTATATTCATACTTGATTAAGTACCTAACCAAAATTAAAGAAATCTTTGTCATAATTAGAAATTGAAAAAAGAAAATAGAATTCTTTGTAGTAACATAAAGGAAAAGATTCTAAGAGGATCAAAAGTCATTTTCGTTGTCCACACTATTCTCTTCCTCCTTTGGCTCCTCTTTAAATTCCCACACCATTCACCACTCTTTCTTTCTAATCAAGTTCCCTCTCTCACCAAAGATCCAATACAATTAACTTAACCCAAAGTTGAAAAAAAGAAGTGGGGAGACTGTTAAGAAAAGCAAAAGAAATGGTGGGTTCCCTTCTCACTCCTCCTTTTTTTTCTTCCTTTTTTTTGCTTTTTGTCACTCACTTCTCATGAGTTTTGCCTCAGGAAGAAGGGTACGGCCAGATATCCACATGGGAAGGCTATGTAGATTGGAGGAACAGACCTGCTCTCCGCGGCCGCCACGGTGGCATGCTTGCCGCCTCCTTCGTCTTGGGTTAGATCCTTTTCCTTAAACCTTTCCTTTTCTATAAATTTTTGGGGTGAGCGATTCAAATTCTCCATCATTTCTAACAATTAAGAAAACTCGACATGTCCTTAATCATTTCCTGGAGATCTACTTAATTTGATGTTGATTTTTTCTTGTGGGTGTAGTTGTGGAAATATTGGAGAACCTAGCATATCTAGGAAATGCAAGCAATCTGGTGCTGTACATGGAACAGTACATGCACTTCTCCCCATCAAAATCTGCAAATAACGTCACCAATTTCATGGGAACTGCCTTCCTTCTGGCTCTTCTTGGAGGCTTCTTATCGGATGCTTTCTTCACTACTTATCACATCTATGTCATGGGTGCTCTCACCGAATTTCTGGTAATTACCCTTTCCACTCCCTACAATTTTCCTTTTTCGAATTTAATTTTGATCATCGTACTTTCTTTCCTGTTAATTCTTAAAATTTCTAAACCATTTCAAGTTGGGCCTCAAATGACAGATGGTAAGGAATTAGGAAAATCCTGATGCAAGTTTGAATCTCTCAATAATTAATATTTAGACCTAAATAATTCAAATATATCAAACTGCTAATTATATCGATGAAGATTTGTGTGGAATTTATGAGTGGAGTAGTTATATTTATAAAATTAATTAATCAGAATAAAAGTCTAAACATTTATTTTAAAAAATATTAAAATTTTCACCTTTTTTTCAAAGATTCCCTCTTTTCTTGCATTTTCTCTGCATTTGCATGTGAGAAAATCATGCCTTTACATGACATCGAGTCTAAAGTAGTTTGGGAGTAGAAAAAGTCAAGGCCGTCCTTCTTAATTAGACTTGGACAATGAACATATGCTCCAAGGAACAGGGTCTGACTCCGAATAGGGTATTCAACACAGAACCAATCCAATTTTAGACCAAACTTGATCAAACCAACCGAGGGAAAAATTGATCAAAACCGATTAATTTATCGAATAAATTGGATCATTAGAGACAAAACTAATCAATGCATGCTTTTGCTGGTTTCCATGTCCAAACCTACGAAAACTTTCAATATGCTAAAATTAATCGTGATTAATACCAGTGGTGACCTGTGGGGCACTTATCGGGTCCAGGGCCGGGCCCTGTGTTGTGAATGTGCCCCGTTGTGTATTAGGACAAGCAGAAACTTCTTTTCTCACAAGCTTTCAGCGTTAAAGCAACACCAACTCTTGCTTCTGTTGCCGTAAAATCTTTCATCTCGTGAGCATGATGAGACCCCCAACCAGCTGTCATGTTTCTAACTTTTTACGACGAGTAACGGCTCGCCACATGTGCCCGTCAGGGTTCTCAATGAAACATGAAATCTCAAAGAGAATCATTAATAGCCCATAGTTGAAATTCAATAGTTGATAACTGATGATATTTATAATTTAAACACATTTATTTTTTTATTAGAAAAAATAATTATCAATCATTATCTAACAATTATACCAAAAGTATTAGTTTTTGTAATGAGCTACTACATAACTAATTAATAGATAATTAACTTTTTACTTACAAGGAGATGGCTTAACAAGTTAAGAACTTTAGATTCTAACTAAAAAATCTCAAATTTAAACTTTGAATTGATTGGTGAGGGGATTCAAAAAAATGAATAGAGTTATCTTTTTTTATATAATTCATCATAAGATGAACTAAAAAAATAATAATCTTTTCAGATAGTTAATATATTTTTGAGTTTATTTTTACACACTTAAAAATTAATCTCTTTTAGAGTAATTTTAAGAATAAACCTCTTATATCAACATGGTAGATTTAAACAAATTAATTTATTAATTAAAAAACTTAAATTTTAAAACTAACCTACAAGACTAAATACTAAAAAGTTATATATGAAGTGTAAACCATACAGTAGAGCGAGGTCTAAAATCACTTACTTCTGTCGTCGGCGTCATGACTTGGGGGTTCAAGCTGTTCTCTTCCCCCTGCCCTTCAGGAATTAATAAATATAAACTTCAAAAAATATATATACATCCAAGGTTCAACCTCTTCTGTTTTTCTATCTTAAGCAAGGTTGAACCCAAGTGTTAGGTCGTCTGATACTAAGGCAAATCCAACACCAAACTATCACGAGTCAAGCTTTAATCCAGTTTAGTAAGGGGAGAGCACTGGCATCTGTTATAGTCACTAATAAAAATACTATGATTATTAATTAAAATCGTAAAATATCATATTTAAAAATATTAATTATATTTAATTTGATTGAAAAATTAATAATTATAATTATTAATTAATAAAATAATTAATCTTTATTACATAATTAATAAATTAAAATTAATTAATAAATTAATATTTTAAAAAACTATTTTAAAAAACTAAAATTTCAATAATTTTAACAATCTTTTCTATATGGTAGTAGTAACCCCACCCGACGATACTAACAAAGTAAGATGCCACTAGTCATCTGTCATTCGATTTCGTGGTAGGGTAGTCCCGTGCACTGCACCATCAAAGACTACCCAAGGAGTAGGCTTCTTTTTTGTCGCCTTTGTCTGGATAGGACACCGTAATCTGGGTCTTCCAATCATGAATTGCCGGTGTCAATTGGGAATGGGAATTTTCATGTCACTACGAAAAGGAGAACACTATGATTATTATCTTTGCAGGTTCAAGAATCTACTTATGAGGTTACTTTGCTTCGATTTTTTTTTTTTTTACAAAAATAATGTATTTATGTTCATTTTTATGTATTTTAAAATTTTACCTCCTTTTTAATTTTTTTAATAATTAAATTAAAAATGTTTTTATCCCCTTTATTGCTTTTGATCAAAATATATTATAAAAAATAAATTTCTTTAGATATTTATTTTAAATTTAAATTTTAAACTGAAATTATAAAATAACTTTTATATATTAATAGATTCAACTCGAAACTCAGCCTAAATTTGAGGGAACCTTAATAATAAGGTCCACTTGAGGGCCATTAAATAAATGTATCCAAAATCTAATTTCTAGTAAAGTGACGTTTCACGGTTATTTAGTCTACATCTGTGCATCTGCCAAATTTTGGGTTGTTTCTTAACACGTGACTTCTGGGTCCACTTTTCTGTTAGGATCTTGGACCTTATTGAATGATTTTTTCTTTTTTGTCATCAAATTGTATAATTTTTGATTGTCAAAATAAGATTTGTCCATGCATAGGATTGGCTTAGTTTTGATTTGATTTGATTTGCGATTTGTTAACATTTAGTCAGTCGGTGAGCTGTACCTGGGCCACTAATTCTTTTTCCGCTGAGTCAAAGCATGGACCACATATCCCTAATCTGAATTTTATTGGCCGATTTGTAGTAACTGCTAGGATGACGATTAGTTGGTGATAATAATTATTTTTTAATAAAATTATAAATATTTATTGTATTATTAGTTTTTTAATATATTAATAAAATGTTTATTTAATATTATAAAAGTTTAAATTTATGATATTAATTTTAAATTAAAGTTTATATAATTTTTGTAAATATTTATTAATATAAAAAATGTAAACATTTAAAATTTATTATTTTTACTAATGACCTAAGTAGTGATAATCTTTTTTTATTTGAAGTAAAAAATCTTAATTTCGAGTTGCATGATATACGGGTAAAGTAGAATAAGGGATGAGAGAAATTTGCGAGAGAGGTTTATGAAAGGGTTGTTTTCTATTGTGCAATTAACATAAAAAAATTATTTATTTTTAATTTTCTTTAAAACTTTTCTTAATTTTTTTTATTTTTATAGTTTGATAAAGTACAAATCATTTCATCAACCACATAAAAGTTGTTTCACCGGCATTAGACAGTTAAGCAGTTGGATTGAAAGGCAGAGCTTGAGTATGTTAGATTTTATTTAAGAATACTTCTTCGTACTTTAATTTTTAATTTTTATACTTTTTATTATTTTAAAAATATATAAAATATTAATTAAAATAATTATTAAATATATTTTTGAGATATTAAAAAATTAAAAAACTAACAATTATAGCTACAAATCAGCACTTCTAAACTAAGCTATAGTATTTAAATTTTAGTGATATTTAGGCATCTATATAAATAAGGTGTTGATCCAGCCTAGCTCTAACTAGAAATTGACCTTGATTATATAGACCAACCTAGCTCAAGGCATGTCAAACAATCTTGGTTGCAACTTCTAGCTAGCTTAGCTTATGTAACACCCCGTTTCGAATTTCACATTAGAGAGTTGTGTTTAATTGGTTTTATGGTACAAATAATTGGTTAATGAGGATATAACTGGTCATTTTGAGAGTTAGTCGGTCATAAACTCAAGAAAATTTTATTTCTACACTTTTTTTACCAGGAGGACGTTTTTGGAAGATAACGAATTGCACTTCTTTGTAACCAGCTATACACTGCTTATCTAGTATTTTACATTCATAGACCAAGTTAAGCGATTATTTTGCATTGGCTTTCCCAAATTCTTCTTTCAATAAAAGAGCAAACCAAATGCGAAAAGAGTTACTAGGATTAGTATAAAAATATCAAAACCAATTACTAATAACAATTTCATTTTCACCTTAAATTGAACATCTAATAAAATTTCAATAAGAAAGATAAGATGAATAAAAATTTGAATTTGAATCGATTTGACATATTTTACAATATTTTTTTTTATAAATTAGCCTATAATTAGATCGAGTTTGTATGATCAATTTTCTTCTATATTTTGGCACACCAATTTTTATTATATGCTCTCCCTATCATACTTAATATTGCTTGTAATTTCTAAACTTTTACATGACTAATACTTCTCCCCATCAAAACAGGGCTTGGTAGTACTGACGGTGCAAGCTGGCTCATCATCCCTAAGGCCTCCTCCATCATGCCACCCAGGCAACCTCCCATGCCAAGAAGTAAACGGCGGAGAGGCCGCAATGCTGTTCATTGGTCTCTATCTCGTTGCACTCGGCGTAGGAGGGATAAAGGGAACCCTACCTCCACATGGCGCGGAGCAATTCGACGAGAGCACACCGGAGGGGAGGAAGCAAAGATCAACATTCTTCAATTACTTTGTCTTCTGCCTCTCCTGTGGTGGCCTTATTGCCGTTACATTCGTGGTGTGGATTGCAGACAATGTAGGGTGGGTTTGGGGTTTTGGAATCTCCACCATTGCAATATTGTTGTCCATACCAATCTTCCTCGCCGGCTCAGCTTTTTACCGGAACAAAATTCCTTTTGGCAGTCCTTTTACAACCATTCTCAAGGTAAGTGTTATAATATTTACTTAGAACTTAAAAAAAAAAAAAAAAAAAAAAAAAAAAAAACAGCTTTTTATGGTGCAATCTGTACGATGGACTGCAAAATCATGGCCATCCGATGAGGGGGCACTTTGAAAACATGGGCAGATTTCCCCATTCAATAGTTGTGATTTTGTCGTTCAAACGCTAAAATTTCAATCGTTGTTCTAATTTTAACTAGTATGATGTTATCCTAAATTAATCTAATCAAGGATTATTTCAGTGCCATGACTCATGTTAACATATATTTGTATTGAATTGAACAGGTTATGGTTGCGGCCACAATGAACCCTTGCCTGAGCAGAAGCCCAAGCAATGCCATAGCCAACCTCGCAGGAAGTCCTTTGGATCCACCCGAGACCGGTGAGAAATCAGCTGAAAATGCCAAAGAAACCAATCACCCGCCTTGTCAAACCCCATCCGAAACCCCATCCGAAACCCCATCCGAAACCCTCCGGTTCCTAAACAGAGCAGTGGCCACCAAGCCCGCTCACTCCTCCCTCCAATGCACGGTCCAGCAAGTAGAAGAAGTCAAAATAGTTCTCAAAATCCTCCCCATCTTCGGCTGCACCATCATACTCAACTGCTGCCTCGCTCAACTCTCCACTTTCTCTGTGCAACAAGCCGCCACCATGAACACCCACCTCGGCTCCTTCAAAGTCCCCCCTGCTTCCCTTCCACTCTTCCCCGTCCTCTTCATCATGATCCTCGCACCCGTTTACGACCACTTTATAATCCCACTTGCCCGTAAAGTAACCAGATCAGAAATGGGCATCACTCACCTCCAACGAATCGGGATCGGATTAGTCCTTTCAATCATAGCAATGGCAATAGCCGCCCTCGTCGAAATAAAACGGAAGAGGGTCGCAACCAGCTCAGGCCTCCTCGACTCAACCAATCCCCTACCCATTACATTTTTCTGGATTGCTTTGCAATACTTGTTCCTGGGGTCAGCAGATTTGTTCACCCTGGCGGGGTTGTTGGAATTTTTCTTTACAGAGGCGCCCTCGAGCATGAGGTCTCTGGCGACTTCACTTTCATGGGCATCATTAGCGATGGGGTATTACTTGAGCTCAGTAATTGTGTCCATAGTGAATGATATCACGGGAAAGTCCGGCCATCGGCCTTGGCTTTCCGGTGCTGACATTAATCATTATCAGCTCGAGAGGTTCTATTGGTTGATGTGCGTCTTGAGTGGGATCAATTTCTTGCACTATCTCGTCTGGGCCTGCCGATATAAATATAGAGGGTCGGGAAGTAGCTAGTTCAATTACAAAGTTGTGTGTTACAAATTAATCTACACAGGATTGATCGAACATGCCTGAATGGTTGCCCTTTTGGTGTATGTAAGTGCCTTGTTTCGGGCAATTATTTTGTAACCAGGATTGGTTCAATATTATGGACAATTGCATGGATGGTAATTGGATTTTGTAGTTAGCTCCACAGAGTTCACAATTTGATACTCATTTACAACATTGGATTTTTTTAATGGAAAATGCTAAGAGGGGACCGAGCCTAGCAGGCCGACGAAAGGCTGATGTTGACATGGCACATGCCACATCCAGTAGATTTCTCTCTCTTTTAGGGTAAACTTGTTATTTAGTCTTCATTTTGAACCATTTAAGTTCATTTTAGGGCCTGTTTGGTACAGCGGTTAAAATTTAGCGGATAGCGGGTAGTGGATAGCGGGTAGTGGATAGCGGGTAGTGGATAGCGGGTAGTGGATAGCGGATAGTGGGTGGCGGTTAGCGGATAGCGGATGGCGGATAGCGGAAAGTGGGTAGCGAATGGTAAATAGCGGATTCGATAAATATAACTGTTTGGTTATACAATAGTTAGCGGTTGTTGTTTAATATCAAATGACTAATAAGAACATTTTTAAAAACAAATAAGTGTATTTTTTAAAATATTTTATTTTTTATTATTAAAATTATTAATTTTATAGAAAAAATAATAATAAAATAAATAAATAAAATTAAT